TTTTTATAAATCATGAAAGCCTCAACCGGTTAAGATTATTTGTGTTTTTATTTCAACAAACCATGGGAGGAATAAATTAAAAACATAAGAATCATGAATGATTAGGCCTAGGCCAGGGCACCTAGGCCTAGCCTAGGCCTCCAGGCCTATGATAAAAAAGGGTCTATTCTTAGGCAATTGACGAGGCAAACCATCATGACCATGCTAACCAGCATGACAAGTCAAGTGCTAGCCTTGACATGGCCCACACTGGAGTAGGATAGACTCCAGGACTCTGCATCATCATGCATGCAATAAAATATTTTGGGTATTTATTATTATTATTGATAAATGGATAGTATTATGCAAAGAAATAGGGGGGGGGGGGAATGTAGCTGAACGCATATTGCAATTTCATCATAACCTTGATTTTATTTTAATTATTCTTTATCTTTTCTGATTTGGGATTTTGCAGGAAATTACTCCAGAGATGACAATCATGTGGACTTTGTTCCAACTGTATTTAGCGGAACTACAACTGACCAACTCAGGAAAGGGCAGGAGCAACTTACACGTTACGAGAGATGGCAGAAGCGCTCAGATCGAAAGAGGAAGCAAACCACCACTTCACCATCCACGTCACAGCTGGAACCAGACCCAGTGACTAAGTACGTTTGCATTTTTCTTATGACATTTGATTTACATACACTATCAGTCTCCTTTTTGATAAGATCACTTCACTTAATGAGATGTGAGAGAAGTATCAGGGTTCTCGCGGCATGAAAACAAAAGATAGAAAATGAAGTCTTATATAAGGTCAAATAAAAAAACAAACATGTTTAGTGCTTGCCTTTTTGCAAAAAAGGAAGCGGGAGGCCCTTTGATTGATTTAATTCTCCAAAATGGCCACCTGACTAGGCTATGTTGCAAAATGGCTGCCAGTTTTTTGGTTTTTTTATTACCGCCATTGGACTCAGGAAATGACAGACCAGCTTTTTATGGGCTAGGCCAAAATGATGTCTGTTTAAAATTTATCATTTTTTTGGTTGCTAAAAAAAATGAAATAGGAGGCGGCCTCCAAAGAGCAAGTGGGCGGGAACGCTAAACGTGTTTTTTTTAATTATTTGACCTACTTCTTTTCTCAAATTCCAGCCCTAAACAGTAAATTAATAGTCATGGAGTTTTTTTGAGGACCAATATATTTTGAATTTTAAACTTTTTGTAAGTTCATTTTTTTTAACTTCAGGCCCAACAAAAAAAAAAACCAGGTTATCATCCCCGCCCACATGCCTTTTTGAAGCAACCGCCTTTAATTTAAATTTTTTTTACACCTCAATATTTTTTATAATGCATAAAAATAATAATTAATTGGGTACTTTGATTAAATACATACAACATTGTTTAATGTGAATAACTTTACTCTACTTAGGCCAAAAAATAATAGTTCCGCATCTGGTTACCCTACCTACCCTGAATGGGGAAAAAAAACCCAGCACATCACGGCTTTCCCTACATGTATACCTACCTACTCATGTAATTTTCAAATGCCATGTATTAATCAGAAGCATTTCTTTGGCCTAATGCAAAGCCTAATGCTAATTGCCTTTTCCCAAAATCTTTTTGTTTTTTTAATTTTTCTTCCAGCAGCTCGCCTTTGCTGCCACCATCCACAAAGAGTAGGAAGGAAAATTGTGTGCACGAAACAACTACCCGACAAGCTTCAAGTCAGATCATGGATCCCCAGGAATGTGACCCACACAAAATGTACCATGATGAAATAGCAAATCTAAAATCTGATATTCGCTCCCTACACAGTAAAGTGGACAAACTAAAGTGGTCCAATGATAGAATTAAATCTGACAAAAAATGTAAATTCTATACCGGTCTTCCTTCTTATTTAGTTTTTTTGTGGTTATTTCATCAGCTTGTTCAGGGTGTGTCTTCTTCGTTTTGCAGATGTCTTAATTTAAAGGATCAGTTATTTTTAGTTCTTATGAAGCTTAGGCTGGATTTACTTTTTGATGACATAGCGGACCGCTTTCAAATTTCACGATCCAGTGCTTCCAAGATATTTAATTTATGGATTAAGCACATGGCTGGCAAGATGAAGCCATTGATACATTGGCCAGATAGAAACACTCTTAGACGCACTCTTCCCAAAGCTTTTAAGAAGTCAAATAAGTATCGCAAAACAACAGTCATCATTGACTGCTTTGAAATATTTATGCAACGTCCTTCAGATCTCAAACTTAGAGCACACACATATAGTCACTACAAACATCACAATACTATCAAGGTTTTAATAGGCATTTCACCTACTGGTGCAGTTATGTTTTTGTCCAGATGTTTTGGAGGTAGAGTTTCCGATAAAACATTGACCCAGAAGAGTGGGCTTTATGAGAAACTGTTGCCTGGTGACCTCATCTTAGCTGACAGGGGGTTCACTATTGGTGAGGAACTTGCTGTACATGGTGCTACTCTGGCCATTCCTGCATTCACTAAAGGGAAGAAACAACTATCTGGACAGGAAGTTGCAGGTTCACGCAGTCTATCAAATGTCCGCATCCATGTAGAAAGAGCAATAGGGCGTATTAAGGAATTTCACATTTTGCAGCATGTTGTACCCATAACGTTGGTTAGAACTATAGATGACATAATTGCAGTGTGTGCTGCATTGACCAATCTTCTTCCAGCTCTAGTCAAGTAGTGTGGCTACCTCAATTAAAGGAATTTAACATCCAATTTGTTCTGTGGACACTACTGTCCATTTCATTTTATACCCTAAACGGGCTCCTTGGGCAAACAAGAGAGGCTTCTTTGTTACCACTTTTGAGAACCATGTGCATGAATTCCTGAATGTACCAAAGTTTTTAGTCACAGTGTCTTCATGTGAGAGTCAGGCATGGTCGATGAGCAAATATGTTCATGTTTCTAACAATGGTCTGCCACTGCCAGACTAATCCGCACCCCACTGACTTCTGATCATGCTAAAAATGCAAAGGATGAACTGGGAACCAGTCTAGGTCTCACCCAACTCTCTTTCTCTGACTGTTGGGAGTATTTGTGCACGGAGCCCGTAAGGGAACATAAGTACGATGAACCAATCTTTACCATGTCAATAATGCAGTAATGTGAACATTAAAAGGTATTAAGGCAAAAAAAAGAGTCTAGCTCTTCAGTGTGTGGACTGCAGAGCAATGCAGTGGCATAGCCAAAGGGCACCCCCCAACCAAAACATCCCGAGTTTCCTAAATTAAGGTGACAAAAAAAGGTTTTGGTAGTTTCATCTGCCGCTCTATTTTTATTTTCATTTCCTGATTCCGGTTATAAAGTATAGTATTTTCATCTAGATTGGGGATGAGTGAAAAAATGCATGCATGGGGTTCACCGTCTCAAATGCATCTACATCTAGATCTTGAGTCAAGTGGCTGTTGATGTGGGGTTAAATGGTCATACTGTAGTTTTCAGAGTGGTTATCGGTCAAATTCCCTTCATTTTATAGGCAATCTTTATTCCAAAAACATGCATAGGGGTTCAATCTTTTCAATGCGAGATCAACCCTTGCCATTCTTGCATTCACGAAGGTGAAAAACTATCAGGAGAGGAATTTGCAGGTTCACACAATCTATACAATGTCCAAATCCATTTATTTTACAAGAATAAATAATTTCAACTTAACTTTTTTATTCCATTGTTTTTTGTGCAAATTAAAATATGGTGAAGTATATGTACAGTATAAATGTATATAGGTAGGCCTATAGTTTGACATGACCTAATGCAAACAAAAAAGTATCCGGTTTCTGGTGTGGAGCTTGTCCCAAAAGTCGTGCGGCAACACAGCTTGTTTTTTGTTTTTGTTTTTTTTTACTTTTTTTTTCAAATGTTGGCTGATGATTGCAAATGGTGCCCGACTAAATTTAGTGCAAAATATATGGGAATCTAGAGAGGACACATAAAGCTTACTTGTATACTTGATCACAACTCCCATGTTTTAAAACACGTTAAAATTGTGCAGCAGCAGATTCCAGTCAAACCAGTGAGTGTGGCAGTTTCGAGACATCATATCTTGCATTAAAATTTTTTTTTTTTCAATTTGGCTGGTTTGCATGGCTACGGTGACTTTTATTTTTTGGCCTAGCACAAATAAATAACTTTAATACATCAATAGTTTTTCAAATATTTTGCCTTCAAACTGACCATAAAACTCACAAAAATATTATTTAAATTACATTTGAATTTGAAAAACGTGTGATATTCTAATTCTTCTGCAATATATTAATATTTAGGCCAAAAAAATAATTTGTGTGTTTACGGTAACAGTCTGGGGAAAAAAATTCAGGTAGATAGGTAGGGAAATGATTTTATGCTGTTATTTTTTTTTTTTTTTTTCATTCCAGTTTGAATGTTCTTTTACAATGTTTGAGACATATTAACAATATAGGTGTACTGTATTTTTTTGCAAAATGACACAGTTTTAGGATGGCAATTTGGCCACAAAATTTCCAGGTACCGTAAACATGACATTTTTTTTTTAGCCTATGGGAATAAATATGTAATTGGTTGGTTTAAAACATGTACACTTAAAACCAAATTGGTTTGTGAACAAAAAGTTGCCAGAATTTTAGATCACAGTGTACATACATATAGTAAAATTGCCTTTCAGTGATTTGTTGTTGTGTCAGTTCATGACAGAAAGCCAATGAGCAAACTTTCCTCACAAACGTCAAAATGAAAGATGCCAATTGTTTTTCCATAAAAAAATCTTAATTACACAGTTTATTTTATACAGTATATTTAACAAATGTCTAGTGCACTTATAAAAAATTATACATAAATAAATCTGAAGATTGGAGGAAGCAAATCCCCACTCTGTATTGTTTGTAACTTTTGTTTTTGCCTCATTTCACCTTTACTTCAGTGTTCTTTTGCTCAGTTCTGTTTCATTTTGCCAGGGTGGGGGTGCTGATAGCAGTTGATCAAGTCGGAATTGCTAACTTCTAAAAAAAAAAATTATATACATGTACACGTACATGTACATGGTGCTTGATGCATGCACATCCACACATGTAGACGTACAATATGTGCAAGCACTGTTTTAATTGTTATACATGTACTTAAGTGAAACGGGCGTTTAGTGTTACTTGTCATGCTTCTGGAAAGATGTAAACTAAGTGTGTTTGGTAATTTGAGACACCGAATTAGTGCAATTCCGACTTGAGTCAAGTCTATCCAAAACTACAACTCTGGCTTTTGTGCAATCTTTACAATTGAAGGCTGGAGATATTGTTTAAAAAACAATTCACTGTATTCCTTAACTGCTTTCCACTGGTCTGCATTATGATGAATCTTCTGCACAAACATTCCTTTGGATGTCCAAACAACAAACAACCCAGATGATACATTTTTCAATTTGTTTAGAACACCAATTTGACACAACACTTGGTAAAAGTAGTCATGTTTTTCCTTCAGAGAGATTGTACAATTTTGTTCATTCCCTGTCACATTCAAACAGTCAATGGCTTTGGCTCCAGCAAAACTTTGTGGATCTAGGTTGTGTGCATTTTTTTTGTTGTGTGGACATTTGACCTCCACACACTGCACCCCACAACATGTGCAACTGACCATGGCATCAGGAGATGCTCCAAGAAATGGTGAATCTGGGTCTATGTAGAGCCCAACATTCCACAGTGTAACACTTTGATGGCCCTCTAACTCTAAACACTGTTTCAGAGAAGCCAAGGCCACTGACTCATGATCAATCCCCCATTTCATGGCCCTGGTTGGAAAGAACGAGTTAAGTCCAAGCATTTTGGAGCAGAGTGAAGAAACATCCCTCTTTGACGATCCATTCATGAATTTGACCACAGACCCCAGTACTGATGCAGTAATTCTACCATAACGATAGAGGTGCCACAAGTTCGATTTTCCCTGTCCAGATGTGCTTGATGCAATGAGTTCTGCTTGCTCTTCAGAGATTTGCTGACGGTCCGGAACTTCAGTTGCTTCAAGGTGACAATAGGGTGTTGGTAGTTCTGTCTGCAACTCTAGTTTTACATTATTTTCATTTTCTGATGCTGTGTCAGTGTCTTCATCTTGCTTAGGGAGGAGTGAAAAAATGCATGCCTCTGGGCTTACCCTTTTCAATGCATCTAAATCAAGATCTCCTAAAGTGGCTGTTGATGTAGGGTTGAGTGGGCGTACTGACCTATTTTCTTGCCGGCCTTGACTTGACTGATGTTTAGGCTTTGTGAAGCTAAGATCTTTAAGGGTACATGGGTCTAAGTCCCTCCCATTCATGCAGTCTTTGTTCCAACTACAGGCCTTTTCAGTACATGCCTGTGAAGTGTAACCTAGGCGGTTCGCTGCCTCCAACTTGAACATTACTGCTGCAATATGGCTGCATGCCTCTCCAAGCCTGGAAATAAAATATATGTAACACAAAATCATGTTAATGGAAGACAATCTCCTTATCACCCCAATCCAAGAACACAAATGTGTAGGGCCCCTGTTTAGTTTCGATCAAATTGCAGTCAAGGTGTTTTCTTATTTAAATATGATCTTTTTAACCTGAAGCAGATTTCTGATGACACATTTCTTTTGTAATTGTTGAAGTTCCTTGGGGTAGAAATTCAAACGTTCTTATGCTGTTTATGGTTGGTGCTATGTGATTCAGCACACCTTACGTGTTCAAAGTACCCCCAAATTACCCTAAAAAATCAGCACCCCATACATGAATGTTCCTACTGTCGCATTGGTTAGTCAAATAATTAAAAGTGGATTTTTTTCCCTCATAGGAACCAGGCCCGTAGATACACAATCACCTTGTGAGTCGGCACTAAACCTAGACCTGTTAAGCTAGCGTCAATAACATAGCCAAGTTCACGGGTCTCAAAACATAATATTTTTGTCAGATTTTAAAGTAATATTCCAAGTGAATTTTGATGCACTTCTAATGACGTAAGCGATTAATTTCGTAAAACGCATTGATTTTTTTCCTGATGATGTAATGAGCTATGTAGGAATAAATTATTTTGCTGTGCCAACGACTACTACTAGCATTCAGTAGTTGGCTACTGTTACTATTGTAAAGTTGGTACTTGGAGGTACATGTGACTAAGTACCATTTACCCTGAAAAAATATTTGCACTTAAAATCCTTCAACTTGGCTAAAGTTTAAAGAGTAAATCTTGGAATGAATTTTTACAAAACATAAAGTAGGCCCCTAGTCATAAAACATATATGCTGCTTCTGAAAAGCATGTTGTCCTTTTCGGAATGAACGTTGCAACCTGACGCTGCTTTTTTTTCTTCAAAATTATATCATCTCATCATAATGATGATTGGACATGACTCTGGGACTGAGAAACACTTCCAATTTTGTTACTGTTAGGAAATACTTCAAAAATTCTCTCGACTGTCCATAGACTTTGTACTCAACCGCTGAAGTGGCGTCAGGTTGCAAAACTTTTTCCTTGTCACAAAACAAATTGAAGTAAAGCTCTTCTCTTACCCTGCCATGCACATGCAGTGAGCAGCAACTACTGATCCTGTGGATTTGTTGATCATAATCCAGGTACTCACAGGGGGTTTGGTCAAGCTCTGTGAATGAGTGACTCTGCTTCGAAGTATACACACAGGGCTATCAGCACTTACTGAAGAATACAGTATGGCCTGGACAAATCCATTCACGAAGTAGCTGTAGGAGTCCAATGACTTAAATGATTTCATTGAGTCTTTAGTGTATGGGCCAGGTGAATTAATCAAATAATTATACATGTCGCCATACTCGAAGCTTTCAGGCCACAAGGTTGGGTTGTTACTGTACTGCAATCCTCCACCGAACGGATCCGGTATCTGTAAAGTTCCGTTTGGAAATTGAACTGTTAATTTGTCATTGTACCTTTCTCTCGATAACTGATCAAGTTGGTTGACGTATGACGATGTACACTCCGACCGACTTGCCTTCGGAAAATACAAATGCTCTTCATATATTTGATTAATAACGGATAGTATCGGCCGTCTTCTTGCGTACGAGTGCTCGTCCGAGTCCATTTTACTATTTAGAAAGTGCGCTGAAAGCAGACGTTTGCCAACCAGCAAATGCGCATGCGTCGGTTTCCGGTCAATGTTTACAAACAATGGAAAGGCCTAGACTATACATGTACGCGCTCTAGGATCTTAGCTACGAACAAAAGTGCACGTACTGTATAAAGTATAGTACCCAGAACCATATATCAGCTTTCGAGGTACGACCTGCGATTATACGAGCAGTTTTGTTAGCGGAAAATTTAGTGATGTTAGCAGATTGTTTTGTTTAGCTTGTATTTGTAAATGTATGTTGGATAATGAATACTGTTTTGTATGTAAACGTTTCAGATGAAGTGTTAGGCCTAATCGTATAATTGGTGATTTTTTTGACGACTGTGACAATACGGCACGTCACCATGGTCACGTGGATAATGTATGCAGAGCTGCATGGTGTATCACGTGGATTAGCCCCACTAGTGTGGCTACACGTGGATATGTATACAAGCCACGTACGGGCCGGGTCTAGGTGTATCCATATTCCATGGTGTATCGTGACCCAGGACGGGTGTACCCCACATTAATGTGGCTCAAATACTCCACTTTTTACACGTTGTTAACTGTACTGGGATGATATGGGGGGGGGGGGGCATGTGTTTCACGAAAAGTTGACAAAATTGAGGTGAAGTCATCACGACATGAATATGATGGGATCTTTGTGTTAAACATCTTTTTATTGGAAGATATACACAAACTCACAGAGTGGTGTTTTGTAGGTCAAAAAATAGTGAATGAAAAGAAATCAGAGTACTAGTGTAGGCATGGAGCTATAAAAGTGAAATTGTTCGGAGTATATGACTTGATATCGAGGCTGTCATGTACACTGTATGTTGTTAGTGCAATCTTTTGGATGAACTGACCGACTTACATTTCCTGCATAATATCTAATGATCTATGTTTCCTACCTCCATGTTGCATGCATGTTTGCTATGAACTGACATGATCTATTTTTAATTGGATGTTGAGTCAGTGAACATTTATTAATTGAAATTTCATGGAAGCGATTTTGTTGAACATCTTTTCTCCAGATAGTTTGATCGTATTGTGTTAACTTTGAGGAATGTGGTTACTTGGTAGGCCCTTGTCTTTTGTGGCATTTCAGTTGACTCAATATGGTTACAGCGGCATACAACTGTATTGAAATGCCCCAAAGAGTATTAGGTGACTACAAAGTAAGCAGTATTGTTGAAGCAGTCTATGTTAATTATTAATTTTGTGGGTTGCTGTGGTCAATTTATAGATATATGATGTGTTGCATTAGATGATCAATTTACAAAGTGGTGTATTAAATTCTTTGGCACATCATTTGTCAGAAGTCAGCCCCTTATGCTTATTGAGGTTCAACATTTACAAATAGGGTGACAACTAAAGTGCTACTACTGCAATGGTATTCTTAACAAATTAAGGATTGACTATAAACAAAATAAAAGTGCCCTTTACAAATACAATAAAGTATTTACAAGCTGCTTTAGCATGATGCCAAAAGTCTGAAGATCTGTATGTTGTGTAAAGTGTGGCATGATCGCGTACAGATTCAGATGTGTATGCTGTATGCACTTTTCAACCTGCTTGACCTTTGTGTTCGACACATGTTTGCATGTGATATTTGCATGCGAGTGCATGTGATCATGTGGAAAATAACATCAATTACATAACTATGGTGGGGGGAGGGGTGTGTATGCCCTCCACAGACAGATGTTCACGAGTCCTGAGTATGTTCTGGTACAAAATGGTTGAACAATACATATATGGTTTGTCTTCAGTTCTTTCCCCTCCTTTTCAAAAATGTACATACTCCTGAAGCCCACATCGCCCCCCCCCCCCCAAGAGTGTGACTGTACATAATGTAGTTAAGTCACTTGAAAAAGGCAAATGTCTTTTGATTCTAGTTGATCATGTGTCTTTTAAAATCTTGAGTATTACACAAATCTGCATGTTGTGCAAGACAAAAGGCAATTTTGTGAAGAATTGTATTGCGATTGTTACACACTAGTTGTCACCCTAACTGTATTCATACTTCATTTACAAATGTATTTTTTTCTTTTTATTTTGTTTTCAGAAATGAAGAGTGTCGTGACGCCATCCAAGACATCAAGTTCCTTCTGGTCTGTTTTTGTGCAGTTCGTCCAGTGTGTCTGTCCCATTAACCCTGCCCTGTCATCTCATTTCATTCCTTAGTGTGTTCAGTTCATTCCACATTCACTCCAACATTTCATCTCCTAAATATCATATGAATAAAAGTTGTTACATGTGAGCTGAAGTTGTTATATGTGAGCTGAAGTTGTTATATGTGAGCTGAAGTTGTTATATATGAGCTGAACTTGTTTTTGTGAGCTAAACGTGTTCTGTGTTAAAGCTATTTTGTTATAAAGTTTACAAAGCTGAAGTTGATTGCCAATTCAAAGGCAAAGATTACTTGCTGAAGTTGATTGCCAATTCAAAGGCAAAGATTACTTGCTGAAGTTGATTGCCAATTCAAAGGCAACGATTACTTGCTGAAGCTGATTGTCAATTCTGAGCTAAAGATTACAAAACTGAAGTTGATTGTCAATTTGTAGCCAAACATGACAAAGTTGAAGTCAGTTAATGTTTTCAAGGTAAACTCAAGATTTATATCAGGGGATGTGTGGAAACCAAATTTCCAACAAGAATCAAAGTGTGGACAAAATGCAATCCCATTGTGTATCATTGAGTTCATACAAGAACGTACAGGCATGCTTGAGTCTAATGCTGAACATGTGTGTGAATCAGAACCTGTGTACATGTTTGTTCCTGTGGCAGATGTTGAAAGACATGTGAATCGATGGAAGAAGTGGAGAATCAACAAAATGACCACAAAGAGATTGAAATAGCAGAAAGCAGTGCGAAGGTTGAAGGCCAGTGGGCAAACATGCTGCAGTAGACATCAGGTATTGGATTGTGTTGTAGAGTATATCAAAGAGACAAAGAAGGTGTCAAAACCGAACAGAAAGAAAATCAGAAGTTGTGAACGAAGACAAGCATTGCATAGGTTGAGGAATGGCAAGGTCATTGAACAGCGTATGAGTAAGGAAGAGAGGAGGAACCATGAGAAAACACAAAAGAGTATGCAGAGTCACACAAAAAGAAGTCTGTCTTATGTTATCAAGAAAATGAAAAATAAAGAGCAGAGCCAAAAAGGGAAGTCGATCAAACATAAGAATGAACAGGTCTTGTTGAAGAGAAGTAAATGTTCAGATGGACTAAATGAGAATATAGGAAGGAAACTTCACAAGAGATGTAGTGTTGAGAAGTCAGCAGTTACGGATGTGAATCGTTCTATAAACGAAGTACAAGTCAAGCAATGTTGGTTGTGTGATCAAGTGGATAGTGAACACGATCAAGTTGTGAAGTGTGATACTTGTAAAATCTACTATCATGTCAATTGTATGGGATTTGCAAACATTCAGTCTGTGCTTGCAAGCAAATCCGTAGCATGGCTGTGTCTAAAATGTGGGAGGTGTACCTACAATGACTCTTTGTTGTATGATCTTGGCATTCCGACAGATGAGAACAAATTTGAGATGCCATCATCTGAAGTGTACACGGAGGAAGCAGCTGTTGAGTCATGCACTGAATGTGTTTCTAGCACGCCAGAACACATTGAAGTATCAACTGTACATGGAAATGAAGGTGAGGAACAGGCAGGCAATGACAAAATTGAGCATGTAGATAACATGGACTGCAAACATGCATGTTTAAATACAGGTGAAAGATATTGCATTGTTCAGCAGACTGGAGGTTATTTTTTACGCAGCAAGAAAAGTACTAATGCTAAGATTAGTTGTAGTAGTGGAAAGGATAAGAATGAGGAAAATCAAGACAATGTACAGAGGACAAGAGGTCAGTCTGCAAGGAAAAGTACAGATGTTAATGGCAAAAGTAGAAAGAAAGAGCGAGTGTTCATACAGAATGAAAGGAACAGTGTTGAGAAAATTAAGTCCAAAAGAAAAGCTGGAGACAACATGGAAGATTTAGCACAAGATTGTGACAAGAAAAAACTCGGAGTTGAAATACATGTATGTACATGTAGTAGTAAACACAGTTGCTCTTGTAAAGACAATCAACAGATTAATGAGACTAAAGAAATCAGATGTATTCAAGGTAGTTTTCATCAAGGTGATCTTAGATTTGGAGACGTAGCTGGTCGACAATGTGTTTGTATGAGCTTGTGCGGAATCCTCTTTAGCAAAATTAAGCCGTTGAACATGTGGTGTTGCAAAGACATGGATTTTGTGTTGAATAGTGGCAATGAATTGTACAGATATTTGTCTCGTAGCTCTACAATGATGGATGAATATTTGTTAATCAGCGAGTTGCCTGATGAAATTGATGCATTCGGTAAACATTTCCACATGAAGATTGATGAATCTGTTTCTGGTAGCTTTGGAGAAGAAACACGTCTGATTGAATTCAACATGATTCCATTGAGTTCTGCAGTGGAACAGACAGTGCAGAAATATTGTGCATGTTTTATTTGCTTCAAAGGGAACACATTTTCAGTAATTGCTCAAGAAGGAAAGTATTATATTTTTGATTCACATTCCAGAAATCAGCACGGACATCAGGACAGTGAAGGAAGAAGTTTGGTCAAATGTGTGTCGTCATGGCAAGGTGTGTACAAGTATTGTACTGAACTTGGAAAATCTATGAATGTCATTGACCATGAACAGTTTGAAATTACAGGTGTTACTGTCTGGGTAGATGATGATCTGAGTATCTGTGGTTGTGATGAGGCTCTCAGTGGTAGCTCAAGTAGTATTGGACAGATAAACAAAGACATTGAACACGATGTAGAAATCATACAAGCTAATCAACCTGTGAATTTAAAGTTTGTTCCTTTGGATTATGACCAAAAGATTGCATTGTGTGAGAAAAGTGGTGTGACCAACATTTGTCTAGATGCTCATGAAATTCCCGTGAAATGTGAAAAGTTGAGTAAACCTGATTCTATAAAGAAAATTCAAGGTGACGGTAACTGTTTCTACAGAGCTATTTCATATGCTATTTCAGGAACTGAAAATAATCACATGCAACTCAGAATGGCAAT